CCAAAACCATGCTTGTGTAATGTTGCTGCTTTTTAAAATTATCATTACAACAAAGCATGCTTAGGATGCTCCAGGTTGTAAACAGCAGAGAAGCGCTATGATGACATGCTGAAATGGGCGTGATGGAATGCGAAGGAGGTTCTTAAAGAGACAGAGGCCAATTTCAAGTGTTTAGAAACGGAGATGAATGAGAAGTCAAGTTTATTTTTTGATTTGATCATTTAAAACATCATTTTATTAACAACTAAAGGTGACATAGTTAGTTTATTATGGTATAGAATTTCAATACATGCCTGGGAAACACATAACATTGCCCCTTTAAGTTTATTTATTTCTAAGCTTAATTACCAATTCTTTGGTAGCTAACACTGTGTAGAACATGTACCTTTTTATTTCCTAATTTTCCCTTCTCATTAACTCAAACACAAACTGGCGTTTTAGCCAAAAAATTTCACCTTAAGCTAAAATATAGTTTTTAATCATTAAGATATGCATCCATTTTTCACAATAGTTCTGTTTGGGTTAAAGACGACCAGAGCCTGATCCCAGCACTGACTGGGATGCACACAGGACGGGACATTTTCATCACAGTTGCCCCTGATAGTGACCTTGAATTTTAATTRGAGCAATTGTTGGCTCTCAGTGATGAAATGGATGATTTATTTATGGGGGTTATTGATTCAAAGAATATATTCAACCACAGCTTAACCCATCAATAACCCTTTTAGCACAGTACAATRTGCGAGAACCCTTGCTGCACAACCTCCCATTTTACAATAGGACACATGGGAAATCCAGCTCAAACTAGCTCTTGGCAAACTGAAATAGCAAATATTTGTTTCTCAAAATCTTGTATTTCCTTTCTCTGCAATTATGCCATGATTAGTTATGATTATTTTCTTATGTCCATATTTTAGCTAAGCATTTGTTAAACTAGCCTACTTTATGCAAACATAACTCTGCTCATACAAATGCTGAGTAACAGCATTTGGCCAGAAAATCCATGCGATCAAAAAACTCAAATTCTTCTCAGTCGGTGAGAAGAACTAATCCATTATTACAAATGTTTTCCTTGCTGCGGTTTGTCAAAGCATAAATTATTGAAGTCAGTRAACAACTGCAGTGTGCCACTCCACCTGTCATACAGTGAGATGTATCCACCTCCTACAACTTTAATTGCTTACTCTGTTCTTCAAAAATCCAAGTCCTGACAAACCATTTAATTTCAAATTCTGGACAGATTTTTATTTTTATTTTTAACACATTTTCATTCGACTCAAAAATGAAAAGTTACAAACCTGTCATCAAGCTTGCGTCTTCAACTGAATAAATAAGTTGTGGGAGTATAYGTGAAGATTTCCACTCCATGCTTCATCCTAAAGATATGTCTTCCTGGGGAWGATAGAGATAGAAGGATAGTAAAATACAAGGGTATACCAAGAAAGACTGTGAAACAAAACAATGTTGGCTTTAAGATATGAAAGATCAGCAAAGTATGTATGCTCTGAACACTTCTTAGGTATCTAATCCATTCCGGGTCTCTAATGAAGCCATAGTTCAGTGTCATCTTGATAGCACTCCCAAAATAGACTGTACACTCTCCAAACCTGACATGTGTTTGGGGTTCTGTGAGATATTTAAAAGTGGAAAAATCACTGACACAAATACAYTACCTTGCCAGAAAAAAAGYCCCCACAAAACTTTAGCTTTGATTRCATTCACTGTGGAATTGTTTCRATAAGCTTCTGCAATRTCACGCTGTTTATTTCTTTATTTACTGATGATGGTAGAGTCTGACTGCTGYGCAAAACCTTCYCCAGCACATCCCAAAGATTCTCAAAGAACTCTGTGATGGCCAGTCCATGTGTGAAAATGATGTCTCATGYTCCCTGAACCACTCATTCACAATTCAAGCCTGATGAATCCTGGCKTTGTYATCTTGGAATATRGCCGTGCCATCAGGGAAGAAACAATCCATTGATGGAATAACCTGGTCATTCAGTATATTCAGGTAGTCAGCTGACCTCATTCTTTAAGCACATACTGYTRCTGAAATTAAACCTGATCAACTGCAGCAACCCCAGTTCATAGTATTTAGTTAAATCCAGRTGGCAAMTGTTTTTCTGGCCAGGCAGTTTAAAATACCTCCATGTTAGCTGTGCATCAACCACTGATCATTATGACATAGACATTTAACAATAATACCTGTGGAGACTTTGCAGTTGATAACAGTTCAATCAGTAAACTCAAGAWGTAGTAGAAGTAGTTTTTGTACTACTAAGAACCAGACAAAATAATCTTGGCTCCATTAAGGAGATCAATTGATTTWTATCCCAAAGGACAGAGATTGAAAKAACACCAACTCAATCATTTTCTCCAAATTTGTCAACCTCCATACAAAGAACAAAAGCAGAGAAAAGTGATGAGCTTTCATCCTGGAGTTTATCAACTGACTAATCAGTGTCTGGATGTCTGTGTTTTGTTTCTTATAGTAACCACATGGCAATATTATTATTTATATAGAATATGTAATAAAAATATGTAACAAATAAACAAATAAATAAGCCAAGGCAGTATTTAAATTTTTCCCCTAGTGTATTCAAACAGTGTTAAGACATATTTAAGTCTCTAAGATTTTTTCCTGTGCAGAAA